AACATCTGATGCACGGCAATTTATATCAATACAGTCGTTGCATAAGTCAATTTTTAATGTGACTCCTGATGCGTAGCGTATAAATTTGTCCTGCATCAAGAACAAACGATTCTGACAAGCTAAAATTTCAAAGTTTAATTAAAATTCTAAATTAAGTTCTCACATGAGCACAGTTTAATTGTCAGGAGATATTTACATCTGATTAATTTCCAAAGATGTTCATTCTTTGTTGTCTTCTTATCTTCAGGTGTCTTCTTATCTTTTGCCTTAGCAAGTTCTTCCTTAGTAAGTGGTTCATAGAACGGTGTATGAATTTCTATTAAATCTTTAGTTGTTTTTGTCGTATCAAGACTCGAATCAATAGCCTCGAGTTTATCCTCTTCTGTGATATTTTGCACTTCTTTTACTTCTTTAGCTGAAGAGGTTTTTCGAGGCATTTTTAAAATATTTAAATGAAGTATTAAATATTTTAAATAATTTTTAGAATGAGTGAATGATTAAGAGGATAACCTTTTATACTCAAAAAGTGGGCGTAACTTGTAGTTTTAAATATGTTTACCAATTAATATTAAACACGCCCCCTATTAATTAATGTATATTAGTTAATATTAAACACGCCCCCTATTAATTATTTTAAATCAAAGATTTTATCAAATCATTTACAAAATTTTTATAACCACATCATAATTTATTAATAATTAAAAATGGTACTCCTTATTGACGAATTTTCTAAATTATTAAATTGTAAACCCTCGAAACTCCGTGAACGACTTCAGCATCCTAAGGATCGTGAACTAATCCTGGAAAAATTTAAAGGAAAACTAGTTCGAACAACGTATAAAGACAGAAATGAATTCAACAAAACATTTAAAATTGGGGGTTTGAGTGAATATGGTGCAGACAAAATTAATGCATATGGACGTCTGCCACGTCCATTTAATATTAGCGTGACTGCGCATTTTTATTCACGCCACCGCATACGTCTTCATCATCCTTACACACATTGCGTCATTGAGAAATTCAGTGACAAGAAAAGTGGAGCCGAGGATAGATACTACCCCCTCGAATTATTGGAACTTATTGATGAGTCAACAACTAACCCTTTCAACACCTTTATGCGAGATATCAACAAAGAAAACATCGATGTGAAACTAGAATTAAATGATGAAGTTAAAGATGATAAGGAATTTGAAACATATGCTCGTGCACGAAAAGAATGTAATCAGTTATCTTTTGATACATATTGGTGATAAATTAATAATTTTTCTAATTTTTAAATAATTTCAGCTTCTATTAGCTAATATTGCATTTTACCCCCTAAAATTCCCTTATTTTAATTATTAATTATTTTAAAATTTTATCTTCTTAAATTAATATTTTTAAAAAATTTTTTAAACCATTTTCTATAGGTTAATATTAGCAATTTACCAACTAAAATTCCCTACTTCTAATTATTAATTATTTTAAAATTTAATCTTATTAAATTGATATTTTAAATTAAAAAAAATCATTTTCTATAAGTTAATATTGTCAATTTACCCATAAAATTACCTACTTTAAAATTTTAACTATTTTAAAATTTCATCTTCTATAAACATTAATTATTAATTTTTCTATATTTGTTGCTAATAATTTAAATAATAAATTTAATTAAAAATCATAAATAATTATTCAATATAACCAAAATCTAATACAGTGAAATTATCAGGTGAAATGATGCCTTTACCGACATAAGGCTTATAAACTTTCTGCATGGGGACAGAAATTACACATCCTTTGGTGATGGAGGGACGTATAAAATTGGGATATAATATAGGGATTGGGTCCACATCACAATCTTTTACATATTTTATTACACGTTCCTTGAAGGTTTCATAACAAAGATTTTGCTTCTCAATTACATCATGACTCAAAGTCATCCCACGAACTTTTAGAACATGTTTGTAGTGGTTGTCTGTTGAATTCTTTTTCTTTAATTTTAACCCATATTGTTTTGCCCCTCCGCTACAATATTCGACAATTTCATCATCCGGATACTCGTCAGTCAAGTCTCCCAAGTGTGGACCAGTTTGAAGAGGGCAATTATTCACAGAATGGGCGAATATAAGTGAATCAGTGTCTAAATAAGGAAATGTTTATATTTTCTATCATATAAATTCACCTGTATATAGTAACGTGCAGCCTGGCGTTCTTGCCACCTTTTGCATTGCCCTAAGTAAGTGGATACGCGCAGCTGACGTAGTCCACAAAGAAATGACTACAATTTAAAAATTTTTATAAAAATTGGAAATTTTTCGGACTTACCGATATTACTGCATTCATGCTCCTCCACAAATTCTTTCTTTTCCATATAACTTATCAAGGCTGTGTGATCTGTCAACGTGTCAATCCCAGTCACATCAATTTTATGGTTGTCCAAGTATGATGAAAATTCACAAGGGTCGTCAGTGATCAATGTCTTTGACAACCCGAAATTTCGAAGTGAAAATCTACCCCCTTAAATAATTAAAAAAATTTTTTTTTTGAAATAGAGATTTACAAAGATTGTTCAGGGCAAGCTTAGCCAAGCTCTTTTGCCTTTGTTTGGATTCATTTTTTCTTTTTCGATATTAATTCCAAATAATTGTTTACATTCAGTGATAAATTTCTTTTCCAAATCATCATTCCCTTTAATCTTTTTATCGAAGCCCGAAGACTCAATCTTTTGTTTCATGAACTCCGCGATGTAAGGGCGGAATAATTCATCATCACTTTCTTCATATTTTATTACACGATAGACTTTTGTAACGATATATCCTTCGTCTAGAGCCATATTCAATTCCAAAGACGTACAAGTACTAACCCATCCACGCTCAAAATCAGTGTGTGGGCAGCTATAATCCTCCAATACATCCCCATGAGGATATTTCTTCCTATAAATTACTCATATATTTTACGATTTTCTAATATATTTAATCAATTGATTTAAAATTTTTAAATAATAAAAAGTTATTACGCGCAAGTTGAACACAAAGGAAATAACAGCCTTTCATCAACCTTCATAGGTAAAACTGGTACGTCGAGCTTGCGTGGTGGCACAACAAAAACTTTAAGAAGTGATAATTGGTAAATGTTATCTGTTGATTTTGACCAATTTTTTAATTTTAAATCAAAGATTTTATCAAATCATTTACAAAATTTTTATAACCACATCATAATTTATTAATAATTAAAAATGGTACTCCTTATTGACGAATTTTCTAAATTATTAAATTGTAAACCCTCGAAACTCCGTGAACGACTTCAGCATCCTAAGGATCGTGAACTAATCCTGGAAAAATTTAAAGGAAAACTAGTTCGAACAACGTATAAAGACAGAAATGAATTCAACAAAACATTTAAAATTGGGGGTTTGAGTGAATATGGTGCAGACAAAATTAATGCATATGGACGTCTGCCACGTCCATTTAATATTAGCGTGACTGCGCATTTTTATTCACGCCACCGCATACGTCTTCATCATCCTTACACACATTGCGTCATTGAGAAATTCAGTGACAAGAAAAGTGGAGCCGAGGATAGATACTACCCCCTCGAATTATTGGAACTTATTGATGAGTCAACAACTAACCCTTTCAACACCTTTATGCGAGATATCAACAAAGAAAACATCGATGTGAAACTAGAATTAAATGATGAAGTTAAAGATGATAAGGAATTTGAAACATATGCTCGTGCACGAAAAGAATGTAATCAGTTATCTTTTGATACATATTGGTGATAAATTAATAATTTTTCTAATTTTTAAATAATTTCAGCTTCTATTAGCTAATATTGCATTTTACCCCCTAAAATTCCCTTATTTTAATTATTAATTATTTTAAAATTTTATCTTCTTAAATTAATATTTTTAAAAAATTTTTTAAACCATTTTCTATAGGTTAATATTAGCAATTTACCAACTAAAATTCCCTACTTCTAATTATTAATTATTTTAAAATTTAATCTTATTAAATTGATATTTTAAATTAAAAAAAAATCATTTTCTATAAGTTAATATTGTCAATTTACCCATAAAATTACCTACTTTAAAATTTTAACTATTTTAAAATTTCATCTTCTATAAACATTAATTATTAATTTTTCTATATTTGTTGCTAATAATTTAAATAATAAATTTAATTAAAAATCATAAATAATTATTCAATATAACCAAAATCTAATACAGTGAAATTATCAGGTGAAATGATGCCTTTACCGACATAAGGCTTATAAACTTTCTGCATGGGGACAGAAATTACACATCCTTTGGTGATGGAGGGACGTATAAAATTGGGATATAATATAGGGATTGGGTCCACATCACAATCTTTTACATATTTTATTACACGTTCCTTGAAGGTTTCATAACAAAGATTTTGCTTCTCAATTACATCATGACTCAAAGTCATCCCACGAACTTTTAGAACATGTTTGTAGTGGTTGTCTGTTGAATTCTTTTTCTTTAATTTTAACCCATATTGTTTTGCCCCTCCGCTACAATATTCGACAATTTCATCATCCGGATACTCGTCAGTCAAGTCTCCCAAGTGTGGACCAGTTTGAAGAGGGCAATTATTCACAGAATGGGCGAATATAAGTGAATCAGTGTCTAAATAAGGAAATGTTTATATTTTCTATCATATAAATTCACCTGTATATAGTAACGTGCAGCCTGGCGTTCTTGCCACCTTTTGCATTGCCCTAAGTAAGTGGATACGCGCAGCTGACGTAGTCCACAAAGAAATGACTACAATTTAAAAATTTTTATAAAAATTGGAAATTTTTCGGACTTACCGATATTACTGCATTCATGCTCCTCCACAAATTCTTTCTTTTCCATATAACTTATCAAGGCTGTGTGATCTGTCAACGTGTCAATCCCAGTCACATCAATTTTATGGTTGTCCAAGTATGATGAAAATTCACAAGGGTCGTCAGTGATCAATGTCTTTGACAACCCGAAATTTCGAAGTGAAAATCTACCCCCTTAAATAATTAAAAAAATTTTTTTTTTGAAATAGAGATTTACAAAGATTGTTCAGGGCAAGCTTAGCCAAAGCTCTTTTGCCTTTGTTTGGATTCATTTTTTCTTTTTCGATATTAATTCCAAATAATTGTTTACATTCAGTGATAAATTTCTTTTCCAAATCATCATTCCCTTTAATCTTTTTATCGAAGCCCGAAGACTCAATCTTTTGTTTCATGAACTCCGCGATGTAAGGGCGGAATAATTCATCATCACTTTCTTCATATTTTATTACACGATAGACTTTTGTAACGATATATCCTTCGTCTAGAGCCATATTCAATTCCAAAGACGTACAAGTACTAACCCATCCACGCTCAAAATCAGTGTGTGGGCAGCTATAATCCTCCAATACATCCCCATGAGGATATTTCTTCCTATAAATTACTCATATATTTTACGATTTTCTAATATATTTAATCAATTGATTTAAAATTTTTAAATAATAAAAAGTTATTACGCGCAAGTTGAACACAAAGGAAATAACAGCCTTTCATCAACCTTCATAGGTAAAACTGGTACGTCGAGCTTGCGTGGTGGCACAACAAAAACTTTAAGAAGTGATAATTGGTAAATGTTATCTGTTGATTTTGACCAATTAACATTTTCATTTAAAACTAACACCTCAGGATGGCCAACAGGATAACGGGTAGTGCAACTTAAAAATTTTTTAGCGAACTATTTATTAATAATCCTACTCATTATTTTAAAATTTCATTTTTAAATATTACTTTAATGTTATCTTTAAAAAATTATTTATTAATTATCAAAAATTATTAAAAATTAATAAAATTATTTAAAATTTATATATTAAAAATTATTTTATATTAAACATTATTTATATATTAAAAATTAATAAAAATTATTTAAAATTTATATATTAAAAATTATTTTATATTAAACATTATTTTATATTAAACATTATTTATATATTAAAAATTATTTTAAAAAATTTTTAACTTAAAGTAAAAATTTTAAAATTATTTAAAAATAATTTTTAACTAAAAAATTATTTTAATTTTAGTTTTTTTATTTAAAAAATTTTTTTAAATAATTTTTAACTTTATCGTTAAAGCTTTAATGTTTTCTTTTATTTTTTATTATTTATTTAAAATTACTTTATATAGGGGTAGAGACTGGTAACATCATAATAGCTGATTTTTTCGCCATTTTTTGGTTTGTAAAAGAGTTTTAACGGCCCAGTTCTTCCTCCGAAAAAACTTTCACGAATATTCAAAGGACCTTCGTCCAAATAATCAGAAAACTTTTTTTTCATATCAATATCGTTTCTTAACATTTCATTAATTTCGCACTCCCAAAAAATTTTAATTTGTTGAACTTTAGATTTAATGAATTCAATTCTTTTATTATCAGATTGTCTGATAAGTCCAGCCGTTTTTCCATTTGGCATTATCATTTCATCGTTGGGGTAATGTTTTGAACAGGCGTGCCAAACACATCCATGCACTTCAATGGCTAAATTTTCAGTTTCGACCCAACCATCCAATTTATAGTTACCAACTCTAAATTTTATAAAATTTGATAATTATTTATTTAAAATATTTACTTTTTTTCACCCGAGGCAGAATTGCAAGTTTGAACCTCAACATTATATTTCTCGCCATACCATTTTAAAAATTTAAGTGCCAGCATGCTTTGATTTTCTGCTGTATCATATCCAAGTTCCGGAACAATTGCAAGCTGATCAGGCTTCAAATGGTTAGCCCGAAAATGGCGCATACACGCCGAGGCAATTGTCATAGAGTCATGAAGAACATCAATTCCTTAAATTATCATATAGTTAATTATTTAAAATTAAATACCTCCACTTCCTTCCCTACATGAAACTTCGTAAAATTCGTCGCGGAATTTGACAAGGGCACTCATTAAAATGTCAACATCGTTCATACAATAACTAGCTAATGCTTCATTTAAGTAAAAGCCTCCATTTTTATTTGCTTCATACCAGACATCGAATTCTTTTTTCTTTTCAGGTTTCATTCCTCCACAAAGGTAATCTTCCTTTGGTGGTAGAGTTGACATAATTTTATCATAATTTTCTGGATGATTTGCTAAATACGGAAAAAAAGGTTTCTCTTCTACATCCAGATCAAATGTCGAAACAAGAACGGCCAATGCGTTTGGTAGGAGGTTGAATGAATCGCGGAAAATTACTTCAGGATTTCGATCGGTTTTAGGAACCTTCATTTCATACATTTTATTCCCCTATAATACCATTTTACTAACAAAAATTTTTATTGGCAAACCTTTCTTATCATCGAAGGATTTAACCTTCGAAGAAAAATTTCACGGAAAATTAAAACCATATCAAAACGTCCTCCATTATGGGAAAATACAAATGTTTCATATTTTATAGGCAGTTCGAACAGAATCCAATCCACAAAATTTTCAACAGGGTTACAACAAATAACCTTACAATTATAAATTATTAATACGCTTTAAAAAATAATAATTTAGAGAAATTTAATAAAACATTAAATTAGTAAATTTAATAAAAATTATTAATAGTAAATTATTAATTTACTAAGAATAAAATTAAGTATTGTAATAGTAAATTAAAGAAAATTTTACTAATATTAATAAAATAAAAGATTCAATAATAATTAATTAATCATTTAATTAATACTAAATTAGAGAAATTCAGTAACAATTAATTAAAAGAAAATTAGATATTTAGTAAAATAAAATTAAGTATTATAATAGTAAAATATTGAAATTCAATAAAATATTATTTAATCGTCTAATTAATAGTAAATTCAAGAAATTTAATAAAAAATTCATAGTAAATAGAAATTTATTAAAAATAAAATTAAGTATTGTTAGGGAAATATTAAAAAATAATTATCGAATAAAATTAATTTAATATTAAAAATAAATATTTTAATAATAAAAATAAATAGGGAAAATTTTATTAATATTAGTAAATTAAGAAATTCAATAAAGATTAATTATTTATTTAATTAATAATAAATTAGAGAAAAATTAATTAATTAATATTAATAAATTATAGAAATGCAATAAGAAATTAAATTAATGTTAAATTATAGAAATTTAATAAATAAATTTTAAAAACTAATTTTATTTAGAAAATCAAAAATTTACCTTTTTATCAACATTTGTTTCAAAATAGTTGCGTTGACTGAAGGTAATTGATCTATTATCCCCGCATACTTGGCAAATATTATTAAAATTTTTTAAACTTATTTTCCAATTTCCATTATCAATACAACTAGGACATGCAACTCTTACTCCAATAAAATTAATTTGATGATTTCTTTTATTTAAATCATTCTCAATGTAATCGTGTTGCATTGTTTCGACATCAAAAGATACAACTCTATAAGGCTTTGGTGTTTTAATATTGAGTTGTTTAATAAAACATCCTCTTTTAGGATCGTGATAAGCCTTGCAGTTGAAACAAAAACGCTCATTGCATACGTGTCCCTGTTTTGTAAAATATTTTTAGATCATAATTAAGGAATAGTTCAAATTGAATTTTATTTAAAATTTAATTTTTAATATTCAATACCTTTCTACCATTCCTAGTATTAACTTGAACATCCCAGACTTTTCCACACTGTCTGCATTCTTTGGATTTATTACAGAAATTTGATGAAATATGATAATTGAAGCAGTCGCTGTTATGAAATGATTTGAAACATAATGTACAAAATTTTTTAAATTCATTTTCAGGAAGACAGGGAAAACATGGACCCATTCTTGAACATTTAATACAACGAGCCTTACAGCTTTTGGTATGTGCTGATTGTCTCACATACGTGGATTCGCATTCTAGACAATAAGGTGCTCCAAATAAATTTCCAACACGTTGAACCCCATAAAAATGATTATTGTCCAAATATAAAATTAATGAAATAGAGTAATCGCCTGGTCCGTATTTATATATTGGTTTGTAATGTCCTGTAGTCTCAAAAATATATAATTTGAAACGGTATTGCCCAAAATATAAATTATTATTCCAGTAGTCAATAATAAGAGGCACATAAATTTTTGCGTCGTATGAGTTAAGGCCAATTGGCACATTAATTTTATTCATTAAATCTTTAACATCTCTTTCTAAACATCCTCTTTGGCCTAAGCGAGAATGAATATAATCATAAAATCTCCAACGCTGCCATCCCTTGATATTATGGAAAAGTGTTGCCTGCATAGCAAAAAATAAACAATGATTCATCCCATCCAAATTTCTAACCTGTCAATTAGATATTTATCACAAATTTTTAATATTTTTTCCAAAGAAATCTGATTTTACCTTTATTAAGCACTGATCATTTATTCTATGATTCATTGGTGCCAACCTAATCCCTTTTCTAGTATTATTGCCACCCATTATTTTTCTTTCTTTCGGTAAACTCTTTCTTGCCACCGCAGTAAATGACACCTGAAAAGGCTTGCCCCAAAGAGTCACATTTTCTTGAGCCTTGCTCTGGGCCACTTGATTGAAACGATTTAACATTGATTCTATAGTGTTTTGATTAATTTCTCTAATTGGGAGCCATATTTCAGGATTTAATAATTCTGATGAGATAAGACATCCAACGCTGTCTGCCTCAAGCCCTCGTTCATTACATTCATTGATTGTATATTCAAGACAATGGTTAAAAATATTAGATAATAAAACTTCTGGGTCCGAAGGAATATTTTCTATAAGGAATGTGGAACGATGCTTAATAAATTTAAATTTGTTGTTGAATTCAGTATTTTGATCCAATTTTTTAACATAATTAGAAATCGAAAATACTGAGTTTGATAAGGACAACTGATTGGTGTAATTTTCTATGGGAAATTGATCATTTTTAATATTAAAATTCCCTCTACCATTTTGTAATATTTCAGGCCTATCGGCAAATAATTCTTCTATAAAAAATCCACGAGCGCGTTTGGACGGTGGTTGATAATCCATTATTTAATAATTATTATAAATATTTAATAAAATAATTTAACTATAAATTTATTTTACATAAATATTTAAAATTTTAAATTATTTAAATAGATAATTGTTTAAGATTCGAGAAAATATTTTAAAAATTATTTAAACACCTAGGTTACGGTAGTTGATAGTTTTTATAAATATTAATATTAATGGAAATTATTGAAATTGTTTAAAAATTCATAAAAATATTGTATCAAACGATCTGACTATCCCGAGTACAACATAGATAAAGGACATAATGTTCTTCAATTTAAATATAAAAGCTAATTTTTAACTTGGCCAAATCGATCGCTGATAGGTCTAGAGTGAAAAATATTAATAAAATTTTTAAAAATTTTTAAACAATTTTTAATTAAAAAATGCTTGAACTTTAATAATTTTGGGAAGACAAAAATCGAAAATATATATATTTAAATATATCTAAAATCAACGCTATTCTAAATTTATTTAAGAATGAAGTAAAGAAATTTTTTGAAGAAATTTTAGTTTGTACTCATTTAATTGGTTTTGTACACTATCTTCCATTTTACAATAAAATTACTTTAAAATCTAACTTTTTTAGTTATTTTACTTTAAATTTAAATAAACAAATTTTACAACATAATTGTTTTGTGTGAATTTTGTTTTATTCATTCAATTAAATTTTAATTTGTAAACACTATTTGGAATTTTTATAATAAAAATTTATATTATTAAGTAAACAAGTATTTTTTAAATAATATTTTTAAATTTGATGGATCTTTACTTAAAATTATTTTTCATTAAACCCCCTTTTTCCATATAACACATTTTTAAAAGATACCGAAATCTTTTTACGGCAACTCATTCAATCTCTAAGTTGGATGAAAGTTCAAAGCGGCGATGTTTGATACAAGTTTTAATTTTTAACTTGGATAAAATATAAAAAGAGAGTCAAAAAGAAAAACTAAATTTACAATAGGAAAATTGTGAGAAAAGAGAAAAATCTCGTATTGTTTAGTTTGTACTTCGTTGTAAAATAGAGCCATCCCTTAAAATAAAGTAAAACAATTTTGAGCTCACTTGATAGTTCAACTAGTATTCTCGACTTAAATATTGTACAAATTTCTCCTTTAATTTAATTTAATAAAAAATAAAAAAAAAAATTTTTTTTTTTTTAAATTTTCTATAATATTTAGAGAAAGCTTAAAATATTAATTAACAATATTAATTATGTCTCGTATCTCAAAAATTTCAAAAATTTCCAATCTGTCTTTCACTGATATAGATACTGTACTTAAAAAAGTTAATTTTATTATTTAATTTTAAAAATTTTAATAATTAAAAAAATAAGGGATTTATATTAACATAAGAATAATGATTTTAAATTTTCATTTATTGAATTTATCAGGGTACCAGGTCTAGATCTGTACCTCATTCTCAAAAATTTATCACTTTCGAGACCGATTGTGCTGATGAAATAATATATTTAGGAACTTTTGTGAGTTAAAATTTATTCTTTATATTTTCATGTAAAGATTTTTAAGGATTTTAATAAAAATGAAGCAAAAACATCTGAAACACCAAAAACTTTTAATTTTGGGGGAAATATTGATTCAGTGGAATTTATTGGAGTTTTTGTGGGTTACAAAAAAAAATATAATTTAATCCGAGATTTATAGGAGCGTCAAATAATTAAAACTAAAACACCGATTGCGCCTAAAAGGGGAGAGCGCAAAAATGTGCACAAACCATACAACAAAAAAATATCAATGACAGGACCAATTCATGGTACTTTAATGTAAACAAATTTAATAAAATTTAAATATTAAGAAACACCAAAATTTAAACGTTTCTGTTTATGCCGCAAACAGATTACAAAAGTTACATACTGTCGTCAATGTGTGCGTAATGACGCTACAAAACGGCGAAAAATATGAAATTTTTGTAAGTCATTATCGATTTACAAACAAGAAAGAATAAATGAAGAGAAGTTTTCCTTTTTAACTTAAACAATTACTCCAAATTAATTTTTTTCTATTAAATATAATAATATTAATCTTTTCTAATATTTCATTAATTAATATTTTTTAAACTCTAACCTTAATTAAATAAAATAGTTCTTTCTTGATCTATCTATTTTTTATAAAGTTTACCATAACAGTTCAAAAATTTTGAATAATAATTATTTTTATTAAAAGGTTAAATATTCTTTTTAAATCATTTCTTTTGATAAATTTTCCTTTAATTTCTTACTTCATTTGTTTTGAGTTTATAGGCTAAAATTTATTAAATATAAAAATAAAATTAAGTTAATTTATAAATAATTTATTTTAAATAGTTATTTTTAGAATTTATGATTCAGTTATTTAATAATTTAGACAATATTTATATAATTTTATTTACTCAAAAATACCGTTTCCAATTTTTTAGAGCGTACTGCCTATAATTAAAAATTTGAATTTTAAGTTAAGTTAGGTTCATTTATTTCTGGTAATATTGTAATTTTTATTAAAAACAAAATTCTACCAAAGGAGACCCAAGCTGAGCACAGCAATTGTAGGGAGCTTGACATTTTATTGACAGTGGAGGTAAAACCTCACTTTTTCCAACACAAAATTTATTTTCTTCCAAATTTCCTTCCTTTTTTCCATTAATACGTTTTTTATTAACATTTTTACATTTCAGAAGACAAACCATATTTAAAACCTCAAAATTAAATTTGACGATTTATTTTTTTTTATATTTTAATAGATTTAGCTTTAAATTTTTTAAATACCTGCATCACAAATATTATTAGCAAAAATAAGCTTAGTAACAATATAAATTCATCTTTTAAATAATTTTTCCCTTCTCCCTCAATTAAAAATTTCAAAACATTATCAGAAAATTTCTTGTTTACGCATTCTACTGGTTTAGAATATATGCTGGGACGCATGCAGATTGCCGTATTAACATTACATGAGCAATTATCCACTTCCACCCAGTCAATATTAGAAATATTAATAGCCATTGAAAATTACAGAAATTTTAAATTAAAATTTTATAATATTAAAAATTATTTAGGATAATAAATAATTTTTAATATTTAATATGTTTAATAAAAATTTAACTATTTTAACTATTTCACTATTTTAAGCATAATTCCTTCTGAATTATGGTTATGGGGTAGTACCGCGAGGTCCGTTGGGACCGTTTGAGCGGGATCCAGAAAAACCCTTAGGCACACCAGTGCAGGGACGTGCGATCTTCCAATTAGGGGATCGGAGTGAACCTGTTTCCGTTTATCGGGGATAGGATGACTTCCCCCGACGGGAGTGAGCCTTTGGATGGTGTGCATCCAATGTGTCCCGGCTCTCGGAGGGCGCGGGTGGGGTCAGCCCGGTGGCCGTGCTGGATGAACGAAGGCGCTATGCGGAGACTTCGTCTCTGGGCTCTTAGCTGAGTTCTGAAGGATCACACGGTCATCGGTACGGAGCAAGAAAAGCATGGAATGTCCGGCCATGCTGCCCCACTGGAGTCCCTGCCATGTTCGTGGATAAGCTTCGGCTTATTCACCTCACCCTGACGTCCGAAGCGTATGGGGTGTGATGGCATACTTCCAAACGCACCGGAATAAAACCTGGCAGCTCGATGTTCGCCCTGGTGTGGCAACTCCCGAGGCGTGCGACAGGTCCTTGATCTCCGGGGGTCAAAGCCAACTGATGGCTAAGCTATCAGGAGGCATGAACTTGGTTGATAAGTTCGCTTATCAACCTGTAGTTCGCGGGAGCTACAGGGACAGGTTCATGCACTCTTGCATCATGTATTGGATGCACAGGCCATAACTCTCTAAGGGTGTATGTCTGGTGGATTCATGGCATTCTCTATGTGGTGTAAGACTCCTGGTGCGTTTGGTCCTCTCGGTTTGAATCCACTGGGCATGCATCCGAAATTATCACTTTATGTCAACATGGAATATGATCGTCTACAATCACTGTCAGAACATGCAACAAGAAGGAGCTGTACACTGGATACGTGGGTTAAAAAGTTTCATTTGAGTGTTAAAAATTTTAAATGTTTATTTAGTCATTAGAAGTTCTAAAACAGTATAGGGGAGGGTTTTTGAGTCTTTAGAAGACATTTTTGTCAAGTTGAATTTTTGAAGAATTTGGGGGGTTTTCTGAGTCTCGGAGCAGAGATACGAACTTCTAAGTGTGTTTTTCGGATTCCTCGACCAAAGTTTACCCCCCTTTAATAAACCCCCAAATTTTAACGGCTAAGCTCTATCTTTAACGGTAAAAAAGTTATGCTCGAAAGTTTGACATCTGGGGGTGACTTTTTCAATTTTGGGGTATAATTGAAATGGATTTTTTAAAATAAGCTTATTTATCATAATATTAATAATCTATATCAAAATTAATAGTTAAGAGTCACTAAAATTCCGTTTTATAGAAAAATTGGCTAAATTCGTGTTCACGGTTTTGGGTCGACTTGCCTTCACTTTTTCGTTTATAACTTTGTCAAAAATTATAACAGGGAGAATGTTTATATATCATTCGAAAGCTAATAAATAGGGCTTCAAAACGTACCCTAAATTATAAAATTAAAAAAATTTTTAGTGCCAAAAATGTTGGGTGCCGTTCGTATGACCCCCTAAAAATTAAAAAATATTTTTTTGTAAAATTTTTGTTTTAATGTGATTTTTTGATTTAAGAATATTGAGTGATTGGGTTTAATTGGGAAAAAATTATTTTAGTTGTCATTAGAGTCTTAGAACGCATATTTGAGTATTTTTAAAATTCTAAAAATTTTTAACAGTTTTTTAGCTTAGTTGCGTTGATTTGCTAAATGTATTTTATTGTTGGCTTCATGTTGCTTTATAATTACAGTTAGTTAACGTTTTTTAAATTTAATTATTGTTTTTATTAGTTTTGCCTAAATTCGGTTTCACGTTTTTGGGTCGACTTGCCTTCACTTTTTAGTTTATAACTTTGTCAATAATCATAGTATCGAGGGTGTTTATATCTCATTCGAAAGCTAATAAATAGGGCTTCAAAACGTACCATAAATTATAAAATTAAAAAATTTTTTAGTGCCAAAAATGTTGGGTGCCGTTCGTATGACCCCCTAAAAATTAAAAAATATTTTTTTGTAAAATTTTTGTTTTAATGCGGTTTTTTATTTAAGAATATAGAATAATTGTCTTTAGTTGGGGCAAAAAATATTTTAATTATCGTTAAAGTCTTAGAACGCACATTTGAGTATTTTTATAATTCTAAAAATTTTAACATTTTTTTAGTTCAGGTCGGTTTATATGATAATTGTATTGTGTTAAATCATCATAAGGTTGGATTATATTAATTCCAGTAAGTTAAGTTTTTTAAATTTATTATTATTGTTTTTATTAGTGATTTACTCAATTATTGAAATATTACCTCATGTGATTAATGATAAACAATTATTTACATTTATTTACATATTTAATGTATGTTTGATTTTTGTTTTTAGTTGTATAATTTCAAGCTATTATAATTGATATTATAATTTTTTATAATTGTTATTTTTAAGTTTAATTTTTTGTGACAATCTAATTACAACAATCAATTTGCTTCGTATTTTTTGCATTGTTACCTATTTAATTATTTGACAATTTTTCAATCAATTATGATTGGCCTTAATTTATTAGTTCGTTTTATTTTTATATCCAATTTTTATAGTTTAATTTGAAGTTCAATTGTTTGTAAATATTAATGCATATATTAACGAGTCTAAGGCTTCGGATTCGATTTGCTAAGTTTGTTAGCTTTTGTTTGATTTATTATTAATTTTATTAGCGATTTAATTCAATTATTACTTGGTTGTATTGTTATTTGGTTTATTTGAGATTGTTTCATTTCAATATTTATAATTTGTTTCAATTAATTTGAGTTAGTTTTATTTTTGTTTGCCTGATTTTAATATTTTAATTTTAAGCTGTTTGCATGGATTGTTTTACTTAGTAAAGTGTACAGGTTTTTAGTTTAATTAGGGACCCTGAGAATCCGACGGTATAATGTTAATCAATAGCTGTCGGGGGAGGGTGGTGCGCGTTTCCTCAAGCCTCCACGAAGGTGAATAGCACCGGGCTGCGCACTGGGCAACTTTTATCCATTTTTTCGCTTATATTGGATAAAAGGCTAAGTCAACCTCAAAAAGAGGAAGACAGCGGAATAGTTATTGAGAAATGTTTACTGAGTTTGTTATTTTTATTCAATATATTTATTGCCGTAGTTTCTTTTTCATACTAATTTTTTTTGCTTTCACATTTTTACATTTGTATAAATGTAGAAACAATGAAATTTAATCGTTTTTTGTATTATATTCATATTAATTTTCTATTTTAACCGCCTTTTATTTTTAGATTAAATTATTATTATTACTATTGTTTAATATTCTTCTAAAAAATGGTTTCAAAGGACCGAAAACGTTCTGAAAAAAAGAAAGAATCGTCCAGAAAACGAAGAAGTGAAAATGCTTCGATTAGTTCGTTGGATTCTGTTTCGGAAAAGCGCATAAATGTTGAAAACGATGATCAATGTATTTTAAATAACTTAGAATTTTATTCTTGTATGCTTATTTTAGGCTCGATAGATTCTGACATTTTCATTGTGCCTGAAACACCAACACATAGTCATGACGATATTTATGAACTTATTGACGGTATCATTCCATGAAAAATGTTTATAATTGTTTTGTTTTATAGCTAATACATTAAAAAGTAACCGAGTAAGACCCTGTAAAAAACAGCAAGAGGGTTCGGGTCTGAAGCTTAAAAGTATTGATCCTGTTTCTCAAGCTTCTGATGATTTTGAAAACGAAGTTATACAAGGAATCTGTCGCGACTTAGATATTGCCAGCATTGGTTGATAAATATTTCAGCTTATTTAATTTAAATTTTTAAGAATCTTCATCAGAAACTAACATTTCTATTACTACTTTGCGTCGTTCTACACGACATTCAAGCACAATATCCCGTTTTTCTGAAATTTCTTTTGACGATAAATGGCCAACACACCGCCCTGTTGCTCATAAATGTTCTTTCTCTCACGTTGGTTTTGGATGTGGTGCTAAGAGTGCTAAACACATGCCAAATTATTACAATTCGATGTGCAAAGTATATAAACAAAATTATTTAATTTGAATCTATTTTTAGAATGACTTTATAACTGACTCACGCTGTCCGTATTGTAAGGCATTATTGTTACCATCGGAAACAATCGGCCCGTCTGCGTTTGTTAAGTGTTGTGCAAAAGGGCGCGTCGATTTAAACGAACGTTTCGCGAATTTACAAGACATTCCAATTGGAATTGATATTTTACTTCACAATCCTGCTAATTCTGCAACACGAAATCGGCTCTTCAAAAATGTATTACGATATAATGATCAACTTTCTTTCGGCCAACTTCGTATGGAGCGAACTTTTGACTTTTCTGATTCTTATCGGATTGTCAAAACAAATAATATGTTTAATTATATGCTATTTGATTTTCGCCAACCTGGTGGACAACATCAACCAGAATTACGAGGTCAACTCTACACAATTCCACCGAATTCTTCTGAAGTCCGACTTAACGAGCTTTCGACTGAAAATGAATTAGATGTTTGTAAAGTTATACAAATTTTTAAATTATTTTTTGTTTTTAGCCAATCATACTTCAAGAGTTGTTTAATATTCTAAAACAAAATCATTGGATGGCAGAACTATTCAAAATTGCCTCTGACGTTTATCAAGATCTGTCGGCCGACATGCAACTTCAATTTCGAATGCTTGTAGTTGATGCCAATAAACGCGGAACAGAGCGCACTATTGAAAATGTTGTTTAATATAGTTTATTAAAATAGTATACTTTTTAGGTTCCTTCAATCGATATAAACCCATCTGATGCTTCACATTTACGCCAAATTCATCCCGGACGTCTTAGTGTTGAAACCGCTGCTGATAGTCAACTTGTCGCGCAGTTTTATTTGGATAATGGGGAAAATGTGCCACCCGAAGCAAAATATGACGTTATTCTTACTGGACAAAAAGGAACTGGTCAAGTCTCTTTAAAATGGTGGCACCGTGCAGCTGATGCAGCTTGCTTCCCTCTTCTGTTTCCAAAAGGACAAAATGGATTTGGTTACTAATATTGCGTAATTTAATATAACAAAATATTTTAAGAAAATGGTATGAAGCTTATCTTGCGACCAGGAGAGAATTTTCTGAGAAGTAGACGTGTAATTGTTGGAGAAGACGGTGATCTCGACCCAGAAATTGATCTTGGTGAAGGAGAGGAATTTCTGCATGATGTTGACCTTCGCGAAGATCATCAACGCGAAAATGTTTCGAGAGCTCAATATTTTCGGTACATGTGTCAACAGAGAGGAAGCTCTTGGAAGGGACCACATTGGCTTTGGGTTTGGGGTCAGCTGTCACAACTTTACACAATCACGTACAATCAAAGAATGGAGGCTCAGAAAGTCCAATACATGAAACAGCTGCAAGGGAAGTATCGTTATGTACGCCAGGCTGCTTTGTTGGACTGGCTCAAACACCTATTGAAAAAACAAGGCATATAAACCTGTTTATAATTATAATAGAAATTATAGGATTGCAAGGACCCATTGGCCAAGTGTACATGACGAATGAACATTTTAGAGGATCAAGACAATATTACCAAAAGCAGTATGCTGCTTGCATGACCATCTGCAGGGAAATTGGATCGATCGATCTGCTCATCACGTACACTATGGACCCTTCTGCACCAGAGTTAAGCAACATGCTTCTTGAACATCAAAACTGGTCAGATCGCCCAATGGAAGTCTGCCGCATTTTTCTTGATAAGCTCGCTGAACTTGTGAAAGATATTACTGAACGAGGAGTTCTTGGCCCAGTTAAAGCTTGGTTTCATAGTCTTGAACACCAGAAGCGGTTTTTATTCTTTATATATTAATTATGCTTTTTAGTGGACTTCCTCATGTTCATTTCGCCGTTATCCTGGATTGGGAAAAGATGCGAAAGTCTGGTCAAGTAACATCTAAAGAAGAATATATGGAGCAATATATTTCTGCGGAAATACCGGATTTACCTCGACCAAATGATCGCACTGAATCGGCAAATCTTCAAAGGCTTTTACATCAAATTGTTGTTACAAAACATGTTCACACTTGTAACCAACATTGCATGCGAGATAGAATAAGATGTGCCAAACGTTTTCCTGTAAGAATTTTTGAATTTACTATTTTATATTCTTAAATTAGCACGCTTATTCCGACAATAATATCTATTCTGACAATGCTTATCCTAAATATCGACGACGCCCTCCACCAACATCGGAGAATGCCCGCAAAAGTAATCCTGAAATGTTTGGAAATATACATAAATATGTTGATCGTTATGGCAAGCAACATGTTGTTACAAATCAATATGTTGTTCCTTACAACCATTTTCTTCTGTCAAAATACCGATCACAGTATTTTATTATTTAGATATAATTAACATTGTTATTTAGTATAAATGTTGAACTTGTAGCTGGAGATGGATGTGTAAAATACGTGACTAAGTATGTGATGAAGGGTGCAGATATGGCTTTTATTAAAATTGAACAAGAAGGAATTGAAGGGGGTGCTTGGCGCTATGATGAATTTCACCAACTGCGTCTTGCTAGATACATAACTTCTATGGAGGCTTTTTTGTCCATTTGGGGTACAAAATTGGTTGTTAGATCACATATTGTATTTATTTTTTCTATTTCTTTTTCTATTTATTTCGTTTAGGTTGATGAACTTGATATTCACGGACCTCAGGGTCATCATGTTGCTGTTGAAGAAGGAAGAGAATTGGAGATTGCTGAGGAAGTTCAAAGACAATTGAATGAAGGAGAAGAACGCCGCACCCAATTAACTGCCTATTTCGATTTTAATCGTCAAAGACACTTAATTGGTGAACCACCTGCTGGCTTGACTTATGGAAATGCATATCGCCAACTAAACTATAATGTGCTCAAAAAGAACTGGCAATTATCTGTATATCAACATCACAAGAAGCTTTGCCGAATTCGGACAGTTTCGCCAACGAATTTAGAGCTGCTTGCAATTAGAGTAATAAAAATAATATTTTAAGATGAATTTTGTTTTTAGATTTTGCTAACTGTTGTTGTTGATCCCACTTGCTGGGAGGACCTGCGCACTTTTGAAGATGTTGTCTACTCAACATTTTTAGAAGCTGCCAAGGCTCGAGGGCTAATGGCTGATGATATCATTTGGAGAAGAACAATTCAAGAGGCATTTGATTCTAATAAGCGCATCCAACAGCGCATTCGTTGGCTTGCCATGTTCTTTGGTTCCACAAATTTAACAAATCCAACTGCTTTGCTTGACTATGTAATTCAAATGCCGCAAGATTGGCTTGTATGTATTATATTAAATATTTTGTTTTATTTTAATTTAGTATGGAACACGCGTTGCTCAATTGGATTTTGAGACACGCCGTGACTATGTTTTGTGCAATATTGAATGGTTTTTAAGAGCAAATGGGATACGCCCTGATGAGATTGAAAGAGATGACGGTACATTTGAAACGGCTTGTGAGAGAATTCGGTATATATCAGATTATAGTGCATCTATTTTTATTGTTACAGACTTCCACGTCCATCGCTTCGAAACATTCAGCCAGAACTGCTTAACGATGCCGAAATTGATCCTGAAATGTTGATAAGAACACATGTTGATAGTCCTTTCTTAGAACAACACCAGAGAGGCTCAACACAAGATTATTACCTTCGTTTGTTTTATAACGATCCTCGCCCAACTGAGGAACAGCAGCATTTCATTGATGAAATTGTTAGAGGCATGTGGAGCGCCCGTCACGTCATCGACGGCGAAGAACCATCCTTTGCAACTGATATTCCACGTTACTTCTTTATTACTGGAGAAGGCGGTTCAGGAAAAACGTTCATGTACAATGTATGTTCGTTTAATGCGATTCCGTTTATAAAATAAATTTATAGAAGTTGATTGCTTTTTTACACGCTAATGAATTCATGATTATGCCAATGGCAAGTACTGGTATTGCAGCAGAACTTCTTTATGGAGGAGCCACTGTACATAAAAGACTTTGCCGGCAAAAACATGTGGATTCTTCTACACAGCCTTTTGTCGATTACCGAGGTCAATTCGCTGATACACTCCGGAAGTTACATGGAATTATTATTGATGAAGTGAGTATGCAACACAAGGATGTGTTAGAATTTGTTGATCGCCTATTTCGATCTGTTGCTCCTAGACCGCTTAAGAATGTACCGTTTGGTGGAAAAGTAAATTTACAAATAATATTTTACATAGAATAAAATTTTTAGTGTGTTGTTATTGGAGGAGATTGGAAACAGTTACTCCCGGTAGTCGCTGGTGGAACTTTACTGCATCAATTCGATGCTTCGGTTAAGAATACAGTACTATTCAAAAATTTTGTCACAAGAAAATTGAAATCTAATCTTCGCTTACAACCTGGACAAGAACAATATCGAACTTTATTGAAATGTATCGGAACTGGTGTTTTGAACGATGCTGATGACCGAGTTCAACTCCCTGTTAGCATTTGTGTTAACTCGCGAGAAGAATTGATAAACTTTGTTTATCCACCATGTTTACTACACTCAGCGATTGAGAAATGGGAAGATTTTTGTGGGCGCGCCATCTTATGCCCTTTAAATACAGAAACGTTTGAAATGAATAATATAATTTTGGTAATACTGTTAGTAATTTAGATTTTAAATTTTATTAAATAGGATCGAATTAATGGACAAGAACATACGTTTTATTCAATAACAACACCTATTATGGATGATGTGAATCTTGAAAATAATATTTCTGATGTCGACCATGAAAACCTTACTAGGCAAACACCACCTGGCGTTCCTGAACATATGCTTAGAGTACGTGTGGGATCAATCATGATGCTAATAATAAATCTATCTGTAATTATTTAATTTTAGTACTGATTTTATAATTTAATTATAGGTTCAAAATGGTTTATGCAATGGAACGCGAGTTCAAATTATAGGTCTTGGCCATAATTTGATTCGTTGTCGTATTCTATCAGGTTCTGGAAAAGGCAATGACTTTGATCTATTTCGAACGCGTTTTTTGTATGGTGCCGATCCAAAAGCCCCACAAGAAGGCATGGTTCGAGTAGAACGAGTTCAATTTCCATTGCGTCCAGGTGCCGTCATGACCATTAATAAGTCTCAAGGGTAAATAAACTTTTAAAAAATTGCTGTAAAATATATTTTAGCCAAACACTTTCGCGCGTTGGAATTGCACTCGATCATTCTCAGTGCTTTTCTCATGGACAACTTTATGTGGCTCTTTCAAGAGCACGTGACGCAGAAAGTGTTAAGGTTGCAACACTCCGCAAAGACCGCAGAGTGAAGAATCCAGTCATTCCTGCAATGATTGACGAAGAAGACTTTAATGAACTTGGGCCAATGGAACTCGCCATGTCATCCGGCGATGAACCAGTTCTCATCGAACGTATACCACATGAACAGGTATTTTTAAAAAGATTTAAAAAATCTTGATTAATTTAGACAACAACATCGTCTACTGCTTTTATCTCACAACAGCCAACAACATCGGCTAACGCTATAATTCAACCAATGCCAACAACATCGGCTAATGATGCTTCACAGGCAACAACATCGCCAACTATTGAACAAAATACACAACAAAGATCTGCTGATTTGCCAAATTGTTTTCTTGATAATGTGCTCGGTGATGGAGATTGTCTATTTCGGTTAATTGATTAATCTTATTTTTATAATAAATAATATAGGTCTATTGTTCGTGCATTATATGCTGGATCAGAAGGATTGGCCTTACACGTTAATCCTTTATATGAAGATTATCAACGAGGACTAAGGAGGCTTATTGCTCGCCGTTACCAGGAAGACCTGCACAATATCGCAGATGAACATCTAACAGACGAGCGCATTCATGAGATCGAATGGGACGCTCCACATATTCGACAAGCTGGACTTCGTTTGGATGTGACAGATCCTCGAAGATCTATGCGAGAATATAGTCTTCACATGATGCAACCAGCAAACAACAACAATACACGTTATGGATCGCATCTTGAAATTCGATATGCTGAAATCGTTCTTGGCCGACGCATTCTGATCGTTGAAAATCGTCGACAACGTGTAATTGATGCAAACGGACGTTCTCATTGGCGAAATATGACCAACGAATATCAAGGGATATTCCTCTCTCCTGGCCTTTCAGCAGAAGAGATGGGTTTGACACGTATCACGGACTTTGGACAAATTTTTGCAATACTCCGTGCTCACAATATGGACAACACCATCGTCCTCCGACTTGAAGGCATACACTATCGACCAATATATCTGGTAGAATATTTTAACTAACTTTGATTAAATTAAAAATAAAAATTAATTCAAAATTTAAGCGTCCAATGCCTGTTGAACATGGTGATGATAATGTAAGGCTTTTAGAGTTGTTGAGTGATGTTCCTTTGGAGCCTTGGACGCCGCAATAAAGAATATGAAATATGTTTGGAGATTTTTGGAGATTTTGAATAAATGACGATTTGTATTTGATTTGATTTTATAATATGTATGAGATTTTAAATTTCTAAATATTACTTTGAATTTTTGTTTTTAAAGGTATTTGTTTGCTCTTTATTTTTTGGATTAAGAATATTTGGTCTTTTCTTTTTGTTATTGGGATGTTTTGGATTGTTTAGTTCCTGTGTTTTGGTTATTAATTTTTTTGAATTTTATGTTTTTTGGATTTTTGGAAAAGGATGCTATAATTGTTTGGAAAAATGTATATAGTTTAAATTATAGATTATATTTAAAAATTTTTAAGGAGGAATAGTTATTTGTTTTGAATATATTTTGGATGTTGAATTATTTTTGTATTGGATTTATGTTGTTCGGTTGTTGATTTTAAGTTCGTTGGATGTTAAGGATTTTAATTTAATTGGATGTTTTGGATCTAAAGTTTTTTGGGTTTATGATATTTTTGGATTATAATTTTTTTAATATCTGGATTTCATTCTTTGGATTTTGATTGGCTGAATGTATGTATTTTTCAATAATAGTTATAATTTTCGTTAAGGAGGAAATGAGATTTATTTTGCTTATATTTTGGATGTTGAGTCATGTTTTGGATTTGATTTGTATTTAACTGGATGTTATGGTTAGAATTACTTTGGATTTTTGTGAAAAGTTATTTATAATTGCTAGAATAATTGTATGTAGTTTAAATTATAAAATAATATATATAGTTTTTTAAGGAGAAATGTTAGGTTTTTTGTGAATATTTTGATAGCTATGTTAATATTTTGAGTGGATTTCAAGTTGTTTGGGTTTTTTGAAAAGATATTAATAATTGTGTGAATAAATGTATGTAGTTAATCTTATATAATAATATGTAAATAATTTATTAAGGATGAAATTGAAATTTATGTTGAAAATATTTTGTATGGTGTATTGTTATTGGATTGTATTGGATTTTAAGTTATTTGGATTTACTGTTTAAGTTCGTTGACCTTTTGTTTATGTTATGGTTTGGTTATAGATGTTTGAATTTTTGAATGTTTAAATGCATGCTTTGATTTTAAATTATTATATTGTGTTATTATATTGTTTGTTATTTGTTTTGTTATTTTAATTTAAATGTTTAAGTTTCATTTTTATATATTGAGCCAAAAAAATCATATTTAAATTTTATTTAAAATATATTTAAATTTTGTTTTTAACGTAACATTACACTTATTTTAGGTTTGGGGAGGGATGTGTAATGCATCTCACTCATTCCTAAGAATTCAAATTATATTTACTTTTTGGCTCCTTATAATTTTCTTTTAATTATGTTTTGTTTAGCTTATTTTTTGTTTAATTTGTTTCTTTATTTGCTTAGCCATTTAATTTTATTTTAAGTTTTATTTTTATATATTGAGCCATAAAATTATATTTAAAATTTCCTTAAAACATATTTAATTTTGTTTTTAAAGTAACATAACTCTCATTTTAGGTTTGGGGAGGGATGTGTAACGCATCTCACTCATTCCTAAGAATTCAAATTTTCATTACTTTTTGGCTCCTTGTATTTTTTCTCGATATTATACTTTGTTTAATTTATTTTGTGTTATTTTGTTTCATGTATATTTTTTTGCTTTCTTTAATTCAATAATATTAGTTGCCTTATTTATATTGCGCCAAAAAATTTTATAATTAAATTTTGTTAATTAAAGTTACAATAACTTTTATTTTAGGTTTGGGGAGGGATGTGTAACGCATCTCACTCATTCCTAAGAATTCAAATTTTCACAAGTTTTTGGCTCCTTATATTTTTTTATTATATTTTGTTTAAATTATTTTTTGTTAAATTATTTTATTTTGATGTTTGTTTTAACAGATTTTTTAATAATAAAATTTTGAATTTTCATTGTATTAAGTATTTTTAATAGTAGTATTGATTTCTAAAGAGTCTAAGATTTATTTTATATTAAGTTATTTATTTTAAATAGTAATTTCTTAATATTTCCAAAAGTACCAATTAGATTTTTTAACTTAATTTCGACCGAAATATTGACAACATTTTTAAAAATTATCAGTAAGATTCATATTGAAGATAACTCAATATTATAATGGAGTGACACAAACTTCTATAACAAGACACTGAAAGTGTTCAAAAGTGACCAACACTTTCTTATAATTTATCTCTATTTAAAAATATTTAATTTAAAAAATTCAAAAAAAATCTGAGACTGAAATTTTCCAAAACTCTAATTTTATTGACAATTTTTATAGAATTATTCTGATAATATTTTCGGATTCAGCATATGCGGTTCCAGTATAAATCACATTTTTTCAGCTGAAACTAAAAAATTTTGTTCCCCCGATTTTTTCTATAGTGGTCCCCCTTTTTAAAAAGCCGGAAAAACTCAATTTGTCATATCTTTTTAAGGGTTAATATTTTCGTAAGTAGTTTTTTTCATAAATAAGAGCAAAAAATTAGAAATTTTTTAAAATCAAGAAACGTTGAAAAATTTCGTACATAATGGGTAGGGTTCAATTTTTATGAAATCCAAAATTTTTCAGTTTTTTGCAATATTTTTTAGTTTTTCGATATTTTTGATAGGTGAAAGTATTTTTCCTATAAAGAGATTATTTTTCTAAATATTTTAGGAATTTAAAATATTTGAAAAAGTTATGCTTTGAAAAAGTTATAATTTTTTAAAAATTTAGCGCCATTTTTCGACCATGATTTCGAGCCAAAAAATAATTTTTAAAAAAATAACGATAAATTGGTCAAATGATATATCATTCAAAAGCTCTTATCAAGATAAGTCTAAAAATAATTTTTGTAAAATTTTCTAATCAACTGTGCTCAAGTAAAAAAATAAAATTTTTTCAAATTAAACAATATCCTCATAAAAGTCTGAGGCTGAATATTTATAAGACTTTAACTTTGTGGAAAAATTTTTTAACATTTTTCTGTGAACGGATTCGGATTCAGCGTATGCGGTTACACTATAAATCATATTTTTTAGCAAAATTATAATAAAAATTTTCCCCCGATTTTTTTCATAAGGAAATTTTTTGGTTTTAAGGAAATTTTTCATAAGGAAATTTTTTGGTTTTTTTGTAATTGGAGCTGAGTGAAATTATTTTTCCTGTAAAGAACGTATTTTTCTACATAAAATGGAACTTTAAAATAATCAAAATTTTTCGTTTTTTTCCCCTTTACAAAAATATCCGGAAATGTTAGAATTGCAATAACTTTTTAATAAATTTATATTTTCGTATATAGTTTCTTTTATGAATAAGAGCAAAAAATTACAAATTTTTTAAGATAAAGAAACTTTGAAAATTTTCTTACCTGGAGGAGTAGGGGTCAATTTTTTCAAAATCCAAAATTTTTCGTTTTTTCGAAAATTTTTTGGTTTTTTTGTAATTGGAGCTGAGTGAAATTATTTTTCCTGTAAAGAACGTATTTTTCTACATAAAATGGAACTTTAAAATAATCAAAAAAGTTATACTTAGAAAAAGTTAAGATTTTTTAAAAATTTAGAGTAATTTTTCGACCACGATTTCGGGCCAAAAAAATAATTTTTCAGGAAATAAAGATAAATGGGTCAAATGATTTATCATTCGAATGCTCTTATCAAGCTGAGTCTAAAAATAATTGTTATAAAATTTTCTGATCAACTGTTCTCAGGAAAAAAATTAAATTTCTTTCAAATTAATCAATGATCCTCATAAAAGTTAACAATTTTTTACGGGTTTTCTCAAAATTTTTATATACTTATCCATACCCACTACCAAAAACGCTAGAGACAGCAGTTTCAATCGACTCAGGTGGCAACGCCCTGAACGCTAGTTAATAATTATTATAAATATTTAATAAAATAATTTAACTATAAATTTATTTTACATAAATATTTAAAATTTTAAATTATTTAAATAGATAATTGTTTAAGATTCGAGAAAATATTTTAAAAATTATTTAAACACCTAGGTTACGGTAGTTGATAGTTTTTATAAATATTAATATTAATGGAAATTATTGAAATTGTTTAAAAATTCATAAAAATATTGTATCAAACGATCTGACTATCCCGAGTACAACATAGATAAAGGACATAATGTTCTTCAATTTAAATATAAAAGCTAATTTTTAACTTGGCCAAATCGATCGCTGATAGGTCTAGAGTGAAAAAAATTAATGGAAATTATTGAAAATTTTTAAAAATTCATAAAAATATTGTATCAAACGATCTGACTATCCCGAGTACAACATAGATAAAGGACATAATGTTCTTCATTTTAAATATAAAAGCTAATTTTTAACTTGGCCAAATCGATCGCTGATAGGTCTAGAGTGAAAAATATTAATGGAAATTATTGAAAATTTTTAAAAATTCATAAAAATATTTTATCAAAAGTTCAGGCTATCCCGAGTACAACATAGATAAAGGACATAATGTTCTTCAATTTAAATATAAAAGCTAATTTTTAACTTGGCCAAATCGATCGCTGATAGGTCTAGAGTGAAAAATATTAATGGAAATTATTGAAAATTTTTAAAAATTCATAAAAATATTTTATCAAAAGTTCTGGCTATCCCGAGTACAACATAGATAAAGGACATAATGTTCTTCAATTTAAATATAAAAGCTAATTTTTAACTTGGCCAAATCGATCGCTGATAGGTCTAGAGTGAAAAATATTAATAAAATTTTTAAAAATTTTTAAACAATTTTTAATTAAAAAATGCTTGAACTTTAATAATTTTGGGAAGACAAAAATCGAAAATATATATATTTAAATATATCTAAAATCAACGCTATTCTAAATTTATTTAAGAATGAAGTAAAGAAATTTTTTGAAGAAATTTTAGTTTGTACTCATTTAATTGGTTTTGTACACTATCTTCCATTTTACAATAAAATTACTTTAAAATCTAACTTTTTTAGTTATTTTACTTTAAATTTAAATAAACAAATTTTACAACATAATTGTTTTGTGTGAATTTTGTTTTATTCATTCAATTAAATTTTAATTTGTAAACACTATTTGGAATTTTTATAATAAAAATTTATA